AACCCTGTCGAACCTCCTCCTCTGTCGCAGATCTGAGCAGTCGCTGATTTGTTTGTGAAGATATAGTTGTGATATCACTTAAATTATCCTAAGGAGTGAATTACTCTCTTAAATAAGAGGTTCAATTGTAGTACTTAGGGATCAAATCCACTAGGAACTAAGGAACACAAAAGATATAATCCTAAGTGATTATGCTAGGTTGATTAAGGTTTAAAAGTAAATTGCAGTTGTGAGCAATGGTGAGCTGCTCAAGAGAATTGGCTTAGGTTTTAAACAATAAAATAAAATAGTTAGATTCAAGGTTACTATTCAGATAATCAGGATTATAATGCTATAGATGTCTTTATAAGTTGCTTGTAAGATATTAAAGAACTTCAACTCTTAGATAAGTCTATTAGCTGTCGCTATTGGACTCGTCCATTGATCTGACTGCCGACAATATCGACCGATGGTATGATAGCCATATCGGACGATATAGGTAACCGTCGATCGATTACTCTATAGGAATATCGAACTATATAGCTTCAGATCGAATTGAATATGTGTTCACCAAGATCATAGACCGGCTCTTGCACGTCCCAAGAGGACCTCAGTTTATACTAGATGATTTCAGGATGATGATTAACAAGGTTAAATCATTCCATGATCATACTCTAGTTAGCTATTATAGAGTAAGCATTAGGGTTCACTAGGATAATAAATATCACAAATCAACAATCCATAGTTGGGGCTAATCCCTCATAACTATTTGAACCCCAAATCTAACAAGTGAATCTACTCAGACATGGCTAAGCGATTCATAGCAACAAGGTAATAATAGAAATTCATTAGATTAGAAGATTGAAGTCTTGGTTCTTTTGAGCAACAAATCTCTTTGTGTGTTTCTTCTAAATCTAGAATTCTATAACCTTTTATGAAAATGAGAATAAGATGAAAAGAGTATGATATCACTCAAATTACCCTAAGGAGTGAATTACTCTCATCAAAAGAGGTTCAATCGTAGTACTTAGGGATCGAATCCACAAGGAACTAGAGACACAAAAGATATAATCCTATGTGATTAAGCTAGGTTGAAAAAGGTTTAAAACAGTAAATAAAGTAGTAGCAATGGTAAGTTGCTAAAGAGGATAGGTTTTGGTTTAAAAAAGAAGAAGGAAAATAGTTAGATTCAAGGTTACTATTCAGAAAATCAGGATTATAGATCTATGGATGTCTTAACGAATTGCTTGCAAATATATGAGAACTTCAATCCTTAGACAAATCTATAGCTGTCGCTAGTTAGACTCGTCCATTGATCTGATTGCCGACTGCATCGATCGATGTTGCTATCGCAGGTTTGATCGATATAAGCTGTCGTCGATC